TCACACAATAATTTGCCAGTTTTTTATGCCTGATGCCTGTTGCAACCAGTGACATTTCAGTGCCTCAAGTACACTACATGGGTGAAGTATAAATCCAAATATTTGTGACCCAAGGTACTGTTTAACTAATAATGTCAAATGCTAAAAAAGGCAGTCAGTTAAAATACCTTGGAAACAGAGATAAGTTTGTAAAAAATAACAGAAGTGACTTTAAAACGTGTAATAAAAATGTATTAGTAAGTCTAAAGAGCCAGAACAAATTGAAAATGATTTATTATGTAAAACCAGGCTATGATTAAAACTATAAAACAGCCAAATGTTTATTAAAATACAGTGTAATAACTCCAGAGTCTATAAAACCTTGCAGCCCCTGGGCAGTGGAAACACAAATGGTGAAAATAGAAAAAAAAAGTTAATTTAAAAATAAACCAACAAGGACGACTTGAGTAGGGAACTATTTGGAAATTACATAGAGACAGACATTGACATAGGGATTCACAAGGGAAATGTGTATTCTCCAATTTATCTAGTGTACCCATGTGTTTACTTTAGATGGATGTCTGAGCAGCTGGAGTAAATCCACTCACAGTGATAAAACCTGGCTTGCGCAAAGTACTAAATAGAAAGTATATGTATTGTTACAAATCCTGAAGCTTAGTTTGATAAATGCAACTTGGTGAATGCAAGCTGTTTCGGCCCACCATTTTGCCCATCAATACATAAACATCTTATTTCCTCCGCTCACTGCACCACTGGCAGAGGCTGGAGGCTGCCGAGCTGGGGACTGTGAGCTCCATGATAAGGGCTTATTGTGTGGGTGTGACATAGTGCAGCTCTGTCTCTCCAGCACTTTAGGAAGAACCATTCTCCCGACTCTGGGCCTGTCTTATTGTCTACTGACACAAGTGATGGGGCTGTCTTGGCCTAATATCACCCTCTGCTCTTCTGCTGTATTCTGGGCAGCAGGCATTGTCTTTGAAGCTCTACAAACCGACAGACTCAGCACTTTCCCACATTAAAGTAGAAATGTCTGAAGAAAGAGGCAGGTTTCCTAAGCGGCCAGTGGTAAAAAGTACAGTTTGTTTCTCATCAGTTTGAGCTGAAATTCAAATGCTCTGTCGAGGTGATGTATTTGGTTGAACCTGGCTCCTTCAGCAGTGGGAGGTGACGGTTGACTGGGGCCAGGATTGCTTCTGCATTGAGGATGAGTGTCTAGGAGGCGACATTCTGGAGAAGTAGTCCTATGCACAGTTCTCTATACTGACTGAAAAAATAAATAAGGGAAAAAGATGGGCTGTCACAGAGAAAAAAACATGATGTAAACATATGGAGCGCTGTCCATGGTGCTGAAATACTACAGCTGCTACACTGTGACTAATGTTGCTTCTCCAGAACGCTAGTTCTCATCATTATAAAGGCCTAACGCAAATTAGTTATTTATAAATTTATAGATGGCAAATCTAAGCGTTTGAGAATACATTATGCCAAGTATAGTTATATGAAATCAAGTGCACCAATCTCAGTGTTATCTCAACATTCACTTTTTATATGATATAAACATAATGTTTGCATTATTCTTTAGCACTCGTCTTCATCTGTTACACTGGTGGGAACATCATGGCATCATTTGCATAAATATGCAAATTTAGATTAAGGTCATCTACCTCTATTGGCTGTGGTCACGTCTATTTGTTAAAAAACATGATGTTACAAATGTTACAAATAATACTTGCATGATAAGAAATAATGGATATGCTTAATTTACTAAGCCAGTTATGTAACAATATGTATTTATAGGAAGGTTCGGAGAGGGGCTGGGTTAAATGTTGTTACATTGTGTCATATATAAAGTGTATGGTAATGACTGCTGACCAATCAAGCATTACTGATTCTTCTATTGTTTCATGCCTTTTATGCTAATGAAAGTATTATATTATATATTTGACTGGCTATAGGAATTCACCCACAGTATAGTCTCTATACTGGAGATTAAAAGATTACTGTTTAGTTAGTCTACAAAATACACTTGATTATAGCACTTCTCTGTAGCAGAGTTTGTACTGACACACTTTACTAACAATAACTCTGAAAACACATCAGTCCAACACATCAATCTGCTGACAAATCCAGGGCTGTGTGATGTAGCGCCCCGACGCCAGCAGCAGAACTTTGGGAGCTGCTTGTCATGTTCTCACTGTGTTATTTGTGGCAGTTGAAGGCAGTTTGGTGGAGTCCCCAGACACAGCTGAAGAATGTATTTGCTGTAACCGAGCTATAAATTACGCCCTAGGATCCATCCGGACGCCCTGCTGTACAAGGAGAGGCAAACACATAAACACCCAATGTCAGATGGTTTTCAGTCTGCTTTTGAAAGTCAGATTAGTGAGGATAGATATTGACGTGACACAAGTATAGAATTATTCAGTGTTGTGAAGAGTGTGGAAAGGAGGTGTAGAAGGAAGTACAAAACGATTTTGATTAGTTTACGGAATTAATTATGAACGCTGACAGTTAGTTAGCTAACTTTTAAACATAAGTCTTTCATTCATTGATTAAGTTAGTGCATGACATTTTGTCGCCACACTGAATTTAAGGTGGCAGCCATTCTGCCACTATTTCACTACTAGAAAAATGCACAGTCACATCAGCACATCCACACAGGCAAGGTTGGTGAACATAGTTAAAGCTAGGGTATCTGATTTTCAAACTGTCAAAGAATGAAGCATTCTCCAACTAGTTCCTTGCGCTTCAGTACATTGCTAATATTCACATGCATTACTACTCAGTGGAGAAGGATTTTAACTGCCAACACTTTTTGTTCTTTCACCACACAATCAAAATATGTATCCAAATGTTCTACTCTTGTGCTCAAAATAAAAAGCTCTGTTGGCCTGTAAGCATGTAGCAATCACTTCCTCATCTCCATTTTGCACCTGTGGGGGGTGGGTCTTGCAGGTGACATCCTTATTATTCCCACTGGAGTAATGGTGTGTATCAGGAATCCATTACTGTAGCCTGTGCCCTGCTGCGCCGCTCCCGGGCCACCAGACACACTACATTTCCGCTCATTTCCTGGACTCACTTCTGAAGGCATCACATTCGCCCCAATCATTTTTCACTCACAAACGCGCGGCTGTGTTTTTCTGTTAAGTGCCTCGGACTTAAAATAGCTTTGGGGGCTGTGGGGTGGAATGTAGGCTTGGGTAAAAATATGCAGGATTCTTAATGCAAATTCATTCCTAGGCATAGTCTTGTCCTGATTGCATTTCATCATATCTGAAGAATACAGGAGTCTATTTTCCCAGCTGCCAGGAGAGATTAGGAGATTAATGTGAAGCCGTTATTTCCACACTCACTCCTAAAGTATTGATTTTTTAAAACTCATTTTTCACAGGGTAATTTATAGAGGGTCTCACTTGAGCTGCGGTTTTGACCCAGAAATATCTGAACCACTTTTGAGTCTAGATGAAAGAGATGTGTAAAGAAGAGAATCAGTCCATAAATAATGTAGTCATATTTATTATATAGTATGTTGTTGAATATGGTTCAGATTTGTATGATTAATGTAATTCAGAAAGATTCTCTAGTATTAGTTCTGCAGTGGTTAGAGCTCTCAAAGCAAGTCATGTAGGTAAACAGCTGACTATATAAATGCCAAGTACCCAAATAATAGTGGAAGAAAATGAATCAATAAATATTGAATCGAGTGCTATAGTGAAAATACTATTACTTCATCAATTATCAATCAAATACTGTATACTATTCAAAGTAAAAGTGTTGCAAGACAAGTCTGATGTAGGGATGGCAAATTATCCATAATTGTGATAACTGAGATCACAATATAATCATAAGAACCAAAAAAATTATAATTGTTAAGGGTAATAAATAAATGAAACAAGACACCAAAAAGCAAACCTGAATGTCAAGTGTTTTTTTTAGCTGTTTGATGTGTCACTATATCAAGCTTCTTCAGCTCACGTCACAATAATCTAAACAGTAAAATTAGATATTATGACATCCTTACTTACAAGAAACAAGGTCATTACAACCATTTTTTTTTTTTCCTCGATAAGTTTTCACTTCACCATCACTGCCCCATTTGCATCTGATCTCCATGTTTTTGACATATTCTAGGTCACACCCCACTCCAACTGGACAGCCACGTTAGAGCAGCGGTCCCATGTCCGACCCCTGCGGTGTTCCTCTGTCATCTGTATGCTGCTCCTCTCTCATGGGCCTGGGTTTGACTGCTAATGCCAGCTCTCCCTTCTCCTCCCACCCGCGGAGAGAGTGGTGAGAATCTCGTGTCAATCTGATGTCCCACTGATGCTGACGCTATGATGTCTCAGCAAGAGGCCTGCTGGACTTTATGTTCGGACAATTTTAAAGAGCAGCCAAGTGGATCAGGGCCAAGTAAATGCTCTCACCGCAGCATTGAACATAACATTTGATTTATTAGTCCAAGCAAGGGGACATAGGTCAGGCCCATGCATGGATAAAATAAAATTAACATGACATAGAATAACATTCTATGTGGAAACCATATGAATATACTAGTGTCAAATCTAGATACTCATTAGAACAAGTTGCGATACTGAAAACATAAAACACATACAGTATATAGGTAAGAAAAGGACCTTTCCTGAACTGTTTAAGAAAATTATTATTGTGCTATGTGGTACCAAAATGCTTTGCATTCCTTTTCCTTAATATCCAGTTCAAGTTTAAACTTTTACTATCATCACAACACTAACACAAATCACTGCATAGCAAGAAACTGACAATTTTCTGCAGATGAGATGACCCAAGTAGAAAAAAGGAAAAAATGTATTGTGCAAGTACCAAGATGGAGCTCAAAAGAAATAAGCTGCAGACTGATTCTAGGGTAGCCTTTTGTAACTTTAGTTTAACCTTCTGCCTTTTCCATTGTAAACATTATTGCAATGTCTTCATAACAGTTTGCTGACAGCCAAGACCTTTTAAAAATAAAACCGGGTTTGCACTAGAAAGCGTTTCCTTTATTTGTGTTGTGAATTAAACTGGTGTTGCAGGCTGCCCGGGGCAACTGGAAAACTTCCTCTCAGTCAAAGTGAGTGACAGGTTGAGCTGCTACGTGGTCATGTAGGGCAGCGGTCAGACTTGAGTGCAACCTCCACACAAATATTACAGAAAGAAGATGAGGTTTTATTTCAGGTACAAACTCAGGCACTACACAAAAACCTTTCTGCTACTCAAATACTATGTCAATACTCTGTTAATTATACATTAAGGTTATAAGAGTCACTACCATTACAAGTCAGCTTGAAATAACAAAATATATGCATTTCTTTAAAATCTATATGGCTCCCAAGATCTGTGAAATTCAAAACAAACTGCTGCCACCTTAAGGTTAAACCTATGCATTACAGCAAATCATTTCATTTGGTGGTGGTTATTGATTCATTTGATTTAACAACAATAAATATATACTGTAATGTTATTATCTAGATTCATGTATAAAAAAATGAAATAATGTTAAATTCTTTAAAATGGGACATTTTATGTAAATGTTTTATTAGCTTTTAGACATGTTATAACCTGTCATCAGCTTATGTTGAATTTTGAAGCCTTTTAGATAAATACTATTAATATAAATAATATAGTTAACAATGTAAAATCATGATGTATGCTATAGTTTAATATTAAATACCCAAATAATGCATAACAATACTTTATTCTCAAACATTTATCAGCAGCAACAATACTTCACAAATAGAAAAAAGGTCATTTTTAGATAGGACACATTATATTATATTATTTTTTATCCAAAAATATTAAGAATGTATTTTACAAACAATGGCATCCAATGTAGTAACTGGCTGGTTAGACTGCAACAAAACAGATTAGATTTAAAACCTGTTATACTATCCATGTATGGAACAGGCACATAACTTGCATTTCAAGCAGCACCTTGTAATGTTTCTGGTAGACATGTCAACTGCATGTCTTCACAGCAAGTAGACCAATTTTGTTCACTTGTTTTAAAATGCAGACAACTGTAGACATTTTTCTGATTTATATTTTCAACTACATTTTTATGTAAAAAGTGATTTAGTAAACACAGACACCTTTGAAAGACAAATTTTAACAAATTTTAGGACAAAATACAGGAAAAGGCCAAGTTCAGCCTTCTTAATAACCTAATAGCACTTATCAAGGGAATAAAAGGCAGAATCAACATTGAAAAGACCACAGACAGTCCAAAAGATAGGAATAACCCATGGCAATATCTACTGGTATTGTAACATGAAGATGACACCTAAGTGGAAGCACAGGTAGAATTCACTGTGTGACTGTGTGTAATGATCTGGGGAAGATGCTGATCAAAGAGAGACTGACAGGTCAGATCCTCTTCTGAGAATGGGAGATTTTTTAGGAGAGCATCTTCCAGTTTCTCCAAATATCGTTGTTTAAATACTTCTTGATTACTTGGAATACTAAAGGCATTATCATAGCATTTTTGCATTGATTTTTCACAGTTGACAGGTTCAAAGCCAGATCCAATGTGCTGACTCGGACTTGTGTCCCCAGACATGATGTCATTGTCATTTTGCTGACTCGTGTGCTCTCTGTCTAGGCGTTGGCTGCTGTTATTAATCCCATCGCCATACTGCTGATCCCTGTCCATTTCCTCATTGATTATGTTTTCGTTGGTTTCACATGGTCTTCTGGTTTTGCTGCTAAGCTGTAGGCTGACCTTGGGGTTGGTCAGAAGCTTCATTGGACCAAAGTTTTCCTGGCTCAACTGACTGAACGGCATAGATTCGGCCATTGTCACCTCCTCTGATACAGTTTGAACTATATTTAGGCTCCACAAATTCACATCTCGTCTTTTGTTTTTGTTATAACAGGATTGCTTGGACACGTCAATTACAAGAGAATCATAGTTTTTATCAGTAATGTCTGTGTCCATGTCTTCTTCCTCAGAGAGCTGGGCACTTTCTGATTGCCACTCTCCATTACCTATCAATATGGGCTCCTTTTCTGGTGACTCAAAGATCACCCCTTTTGGTGACAGAAAGAGGGGCTTGCGGTGAAAATTGTTATATCCAGATGTGCTCAGCTGGTTGTCATTGTGCCTTGACATGTACAATCGAACGGACTCTGGGACTAAGAACTCATGGCGCTTTTGGTGTGGTAGTAAGGCAGACAGACCACCGGGGACACAGCGACCCAGGATTGGCACTATAGACTTCGGTTTAATAGCAGACACAAAGTCCTCCAACTCTTGGTAGGAGGAATGGTCAGAGTACGGTACTATATATACATTTGGGTGGAAGGATACTAGAGGGCGGCTGGTGGGTAAAATGGCCAGAGTAGGTTGTTCATTGTTGTACTGCAGCATAGAGGTGTAGGAGATCTGTGATTGGTCCACCACTCGGAAACGCCCCGCCCCTCTCTCGGTAGTGAATACATCAGGCAGATTCAAAGCTCTCAGGGTTTCCATACGGTCCACACTCACCTCCACCCAACTCTTAAACTCCAGGGCCAGCTCCACCAGAAGAGACTCCTTACCCAGAGTATACAGGCCTGGAAAGAAGATTATAACAAACTATTAAAAGAGACACTACTTGTTTATTTATGCCTAAGGGAAAAATTGTGTTGCAGAAAGGTCAGAAACTCTGCAGTATTAGCATAATTAAAAGCAATAGTTGTAAACATAATCCCCTCCTCTAACTGGTTGGTTATATTAAATTGTCCAGTGCAATGTAGGCAGAGACACGCACATACAAAAAGCTCTTACACCTGCATGTCTGGTCTAAAACCCATGTGTGACATGTGTCACATGTGGTGCTCTGTGATGGATACCTCTGCCACCACTCCATAGTGTCAGTATTATTTAATTTTCATTATTATTTACATTAAGTTAATTATACTACACATAATTTAATTCCTTTATTTAGACTTATGTTCAAATTTGAGTGCACACATTTTAGTTAATAAGTCTAATTTACTTACACTTGTTCTTTTTGTTTTTTTGAGCACCGGACGGAGGACCCTGGAAGAGACCATCAGGACTCAGCAAAGGGGGGGAGCACTATTTAGTTTGTTTTACTAAGTTAATTTGTTTAGTTTGTGTTAAGGTCACGTTATTCTCACTTAGTATTTTCTGGATTATAATTATTTGCTTTTTTTGTTACTTTGATTAAGTTATTGGTTTAGTTAGGTAATTAGTGTAATTCCTCCCTCTTGTGTTTAGCTTTAGTTGGTCCTTAGGTATTTAAGCACACCTGTTCCTTTGTCTGGTTGGGTTAGTTTTTTTCTGTTCAGTTTGATTTTGAGTTACCCCAGTTGGGCCCATCTTTTTTGTTAATAATTTGCCTAATTTGAGCCTTTGTTAAATTATATCTTTTTTGGCTTTATTAAATTTAAACTTATTTTTATACCTTGTCTTTGCCTTTCTGTTTGGTCCACTACATGCTCCAAAAAAGTACTGTGCGGATCTACTTTCTTTCAACAGTTATATTCAATTGTCCCTCAAGCCAGTGGCATTTTATGTGGACTTTTTTTTTTTTTTTTCATTAGATCTGACAAACAAAAGTGATTCCCTTTGAAAATATGATAATTGTGAATTATAACAAATAAAGTGATTTTTTTTTATTTGAAAATTACAGAGGTGGGTAATGTTTTTAACACATATCCTGCATATACTACTATTAGGAATTACTGATATTAAGCTTTCAATTTATACAGTTCAATTATTCACGCACCGTCTTTCACAAATCAAATAACAAAGTAAAATAATTTATATGCCAGAGAATAATGGCCCATGGATAGTTACAGCTTGGAAATGGCTGTTCATTATCACATTCATTCACAATCAGAGGAGATTTTATGTCAGATAGAATGTGTATTATAATATGTATAAAATTACCAATAACAGCATTGTGGTTTGGGTGGCTGCGGATGATCTCTTTGATTTGCTGAGTGGCTGTCTTCCTGGAGGGGAGGGTGCGATTGGGGTCACAGTTTGTGTTGTCCAGGTACATGACGTCAATAGTAGTGTTTGTTCTCAAACCAGGCTCTCGCAGCATCGAAGGAGTGTAACGAAAATCACCTGCAATGAACACTGTGTGGTTACTACTCAGCTGTATTAAGTTTATACCATATATATGCATACAATGAAGTCAGGTCTCCACAGATACTGACCAGTGTACAGTATGGAGCCAAAGTATCCTTCAAACAGAAACATGACAGCTCCTGGACAGTGGTTTGCATCAATGAGTGTCACAGTCATAGTCTCTTTCCCAATGTCATCCAGCGGCAGCAGGTACGGCTCCCCCAGCTCCAGAGCGTGGATCCAATGCTCCTTCACCTAAAAGGCACAGGAACTAGTCAGGAACTAGTAAGAAACAGTATAAAGCAATTCATGCTCATACTATAACTATGAATAAATGACAAACATGCCAAACATGGACAATACACCAAATCATTGTATGATTTTCTTGAAGGCTAAGTAAGGTATTTTGCTCTTAGAGGTAACTAAAAAACTGCTTCATCTAAGAGTTGACACATGACTATGATGCTGATCCACCTGTCACTCTCTCCACAGCAGGATGAAGACTATATAATGGAGAAAGGATGTTGCTTTAAATAAAACCACTGAACCATGATATGGCATGTCACAGTGATAACAAAGTCACAGACATCAGACAACGACTCAGTGTTTACTGTGATACCACCCAGCCTTATGTCCCTGCCAAATACAGCAGTGATGAGTTTCTCGCGTGTACCTTGAGCTTGAGCTGCAGCAGTGTGGCGGTGACGGGGGAGCAGTAGATGGGTCGGTTGCTCCAGGTGGAGGACAGGCCAACGGTGTGGTCGCTGTGCATGTGGGACAAAAAGAACAAGCGGGTCTCGGGACATTTTCGGATCTGCCAAAAGTCCACGGCCAGCGGAGTATGCGGAATCACTTTTCCGTTCATTTTGTTCACTGCGCATCAGCTTAGCCATACAGATCATGTGCATGAGCAGACTGCGCCACAGCAGACCCACACCGAATGGCGCAATACTGTTCTGGTATGAACCATAATATACAAAGCTTGATGTGTGTAGCAAAACGCCCCGAGCAGAGGCTAGCTTACATTACAATTCTCCATAATAATTCGGTCCTTACGTTACGGGACATCGTCATTTTAACTCTGCCTCGGTCCACGAAGCGTTTGGACTTTTGCACAGTTTAATCCTTATAATTGCGTGCGTAATTAGCGCGAAATGACTTCTCTTTTAAATTTGTCCCAGGCCTCTCCCCTGGCTGCTTCTCGGGTCTAGATGGCGTTTGCTGAATCGTTACTGACATCTACTGGTGAGTGCTCTCTGGCGCCAGACGCAAACAGCTGCAAACAGTTGAACGAACAAAAGGAAAGTGCTGTAAAACTGCTCAAATCTGGCTGCTAATTTAAGATTTAAGATTTATATCATGGTCTCATCTATTTAGACTTCTAACTCTCTTTGTTTTCATGTTGTATAATGTTGGTTGATAGAGGCCTATTTATTTTAGTCTGTAATTTTTGTCTGTTTTTGTTTTACTGTGTTTCCCTTCATGAATGTATTTATTTATTTATTTATTTTTTTTTTTGAGGCATATATTCTTTCATTTGCTCTAAACTGACAATAATAATACAAATAATCACATGAGGGGAAAAAACCAAAACATTTACTTATTTGAAGTTTTATTTGTGTTGCAAGCTAAATACACATAATTTTCTCTCATTCACAAATCATTATATTCCTTGATGTTCTTTTGGCCATATGACAGAAGAGGGCAGTAGAGGAACAGGCATATTTTTTCCCCCATTTCCATTAGTTCAAAGAACATTTGTCATTTTATTACAGGCACTGCGCTTCACAGGATATAAACCAAGTAGAGCACTTAAAACAGCATTTAGCCCGTGAATGTTGCACTAGTCTAGCAACTGTTCCACACATATTTCATAATGAAGGCCTGTAAGACAAATACACTAAGAAATTATTATGGAGATGTTTTTTTAGATTGTTAAACTACACTGCAGTGTGTCTTAAATAATATCATTGTAACTCACTTGAAATCAAACTGACCTTATTCTTGGCATTAAAGTATGCTATTCCTTTCCCTCAAATTACTCATAATCAAAATGTTAGTCAGTATTATGTCTGTGGAGGCGGGGCGCTACCACTAAATGGGAGCGTTGCCTTGGTGATGCTGTCACACAGAACATCCCTCCACCCCTCCTCTAACCCTTTTCCTGCTGCACACTTTCCGGATTACACCTGTCATCTCTGCACATCACTGCCTGATCACCCAGCATGCACCTCTGCTGCACCGTCTACAATAAGAGCAGATTAATCAGACACACTCTTTTAATTATGAACCCAGAATCAACCTCACACATGCACACTCCCAACTCATAAAAATCTCATGAATGGGATCAGATAGAGATTATTAACTGGTCATGCTTAGAAACTCAGTAAAATTATACTACTGATAATATAGGCCTATGCAATGACTCAGCTGGTCCCCTGACCCCTGGTCGATTTTTGCACAATATGAGGGCACAAAAATGTAATATCTATAATTAAAATCTCACCCCAGATAGTAAAAAGATTTGACTGTGCTTTGAATTATACATACCTATTGATTTATTGCTTAGAAACAGTAAAATTATGAGAACACATTAGCTACCATCAGTCAAGGCTCCTGTGGGTGGGAGAATATTAATGCAATCTATTCATGATCTGAAAGGTGCTCAAAAAGGTGCAGATTCACTGTTCAGAAGTCACTATGAGAAACTGAAATGCCGCATAAAACTTAATATCAACCCAAAATCCACACTTACTATATTTTGAGTGTTTTTCCCTTGTAGCAGACATGTATTCTTACTGTTAAAATAAGAGCTCAGACATGACCTAATCTTTTTACTTTAATGGTTGGGCACCCTACTGGAGAACCACAGCTCCACAAAGATATAGCCTATAATCTTTCACATTCAGTGAGGATTAGCTGAAATGATTCTTACATATAATTGAGTGATGAAAATATGTATTCAGATAAGCAGCAATAGTAATTTTGAGTAACTATATTCTGGTGGAGCTACTCTTAATCCCATGGTAATCCATGATTAATAAATGCATAACAAAATGGTGAAACAAATAAATAAAGCTGTTTTAATCCTATGCCACGCTTGTAATATAATATAATGCAATTTAATGCTAAATTATTTTAAAGTAATGATTTTTAACATTCTAAATAAAATGAAAACAACATTCTCCACGGAGATAGAAATGTTTTGTACCATATTGTGGAAGATTATACCCAAAGGAACAACATTGCATGAAAACAAGCATGGAGAAGGCCCTCCTCTAGATCAAGAGTCAGATAAGCTTTGTGGAGATGCAGGCCTAGCCCACAGTAAGAATAAATTACAAAATCCATTTTATTGCAGATATTCAGTATTCTTTCTATAAATTAATTTTCAGAGTATTCTTCCCAACACTGATCATAGACATGCTTATCAGCCACTAAATGTCACGATTCCACTTGTGGACAGAGTGAAAAGTTCAACACTACTAGAAGTGAGGCTGTGATATTTGAAGAGAGGGCAAATTAAACAGGATTTGCATATAGGATAAAACCATAAAAGCTTACAACAGTCCTTTAAATAGCTACTGTTAACACCCTGATAAAACACAACTGCTGACTCATAATATAACTCATCCTTTTGAAGCAAAACAGTAAATGCAAACAATGAACGAATTATACAGCAGCCGACAAAATTAAAACCCCAGCTGTTTACAGTGCTCTCTTCAGGAGGGCCGAGGTTAAAGAATGACTAGTTTCCTGTCAGCCTGTTACTGTAGCATGAAAACAATACACTGTCAGCTCCAACTCCAGCAGTAGCAGCAGCAGCAGTATCAGTGGATGGGTTTATGTGTGTGATAAGGACAGATGGCAGCTCAGTCTGAGGCCTGCCACTGCTCGTCTCTGGCACGCCTTCACAACATTCTGCTTTTTAAACTTTTACTGACCCTCACAAGCTGACATAACCCTCTTCTATACATAGCAACAAATGAATTTGAATCACGGCAGCTCTGTGATGTGTCATGCTAACAGAGTAACAGATTTGCTATTGGAGTTTTGAAGTTTTGACTATGTGTTGCAAAAAAGTTTATTCATATGGCAAAACATAAATGGAAAATACTATGAGTGCAACAAGTAACATTTCTGGTTGGGTGTGCCACCTGCTTATCTCCATGGTTGTTGCTGTTTTATACAGTAGCAATAAACATCTTGCGTACCTTTATTCAATTTAAGGCATTTTACTGTTACAAAAATTTGCATGTCTCCATGGAAATAGACAAGTAAATCTCATGCTGTGGAACAATAAAGGTAAACCAATTACCTCTCCATGAGAACAATAAAACACCAAGTTATATAATGGACAGATACAATTTTAGTTCCATTACTGTCAAATATAATGAAGTAAAATCTTAGCAGCATATATTGTTTTTATCACTTTTGCAATCTTTTGTTGTCCCTTTGTGAGTGTTGATGTATTGCCATTAAAGATCCTGTATTATGCAAAATTGACTCTTTAAGCCATGTTATAATGTTGTTATCACATCAAAAACATACTTGGAGTTGTGTTTTGTTTCTTAAACACATGTTTCACTAACCTTTTATTATTATTTTATTATTAGTCTACATCTCCAAAGCTCAAAATGGTTCCACCTTGTCATGAAGTGGTAGTTTTCAAAGTTAACTGCTACCTTTTTCCTTTAGTTCAGTAGAGATTAGCTGAAATTATCCAAATGATTCTAGTGAAGGCGCATGGAGTTTAAAAACACAGTGAAGCACTTCCTGTATCACAAGGTGGAACAGAGCATTACTCAGCCTAAATATTCAGGGTTTGTGAGTTAAACATTGTGTGAATGAAACAAACACAAATCCAGGTCTGTTTGTGATGAGGAAACAAAATTATAACATAGATTGGAAAATAGAGTAATATAGCTCCTTTAAAATTTAAATCCTCTCTCTGATGTACATAATTAGCAGTACACAAATAGAATAACTTATAATGTACATGAGTTGGCAAAGTCTAAATCCATAAAGCTGAGGATCTTGTGCAGTGTTGCCTACTTCTTTTATCCGAAGTGATTATGCGTATAAGTGTGAGGGCTGGGAGAATGAAGCAAAGAGAATTTTCTGCCTGCGGCAAGATGAAGCATAAATCTGCTCTGTAACGCACAAATGAACCTGTGTTATTATTTCATGTGGGACTTTATACTGACAATTCTGTATGTTGTATGTGACCCAGTTCTCCTGTGAACTTCTTAATACATTGTGAAAGACATTAGTGGCCAATATATTAACAAAATGGATATCAGATTTGTTTCCCCAACATTTTCCAATGCATCAGGAATAGACTAAAATGTCTTGTTTGAGGTTCATAAAATTAACCACAAATGTACAGATATATCACTTTGTACCTTTGTTTGATGTCTCTTTTTGCTGTCATTTATAATAGTATAATTACAGTACACTTGATATTCTAGTACATAAAAACAAACAATGTTATCAATTTTTTGACTTATCTCTCTTCTCTAGTGACAGAAAAAGCATTAAACATAACAGATCCACAAAACATTGCAGTATTTCTTTATAATCTGAATTGTCTTGGCGTCCTTACCCCCCCATATTTCAACTTCACTGTTTATTGATCTGGCAGTAGTAATGCATAGGGCCAGTTGTGCCTAGCCTGCAGCGCTCTGACTCAACACATTTGTACAGAGGTGGTGGTCTCTGGAGGGGTTCTGTGTTGCTTCGGCTCCTGTCCTTTTGGTTTACTGTACGGCTACACCACGTCCCGAGGGCAGGAGCTGGCTGAAGAGGTTGGCGGCAGAAGACACAGCTGTTTGGGCATCTGATCATATTGGGTACTTGTGCCAAAGGGCAATTTCTGATGACTGTGGTTGTCAGAGTGTGAGGAAGAGGAAGTTAAATCTGATCCATTCTGGCATCATTTTCAGGAAAGACTAGTATTGGGCCAAGTGTTTTTCATATCTGTTTTGGTCAGTGGCTTAATGAAGATGTTTAGTATTACTGTAAGATAAGGCCATAATACTATAGGGTATTGTTTTGATTTGTGGACAAAGTGTTACTCCTGAATTACTTGAAATACGTTCTAAGTATTCATGGGTTTCAGCTTCCTGTTATACTGTGAAGTAATTTGAGGGAATAGACACAAGGAACTATGATTGTGTGAAATTAACTGTTTTTTTTCTGTAGC